AGCCCGCTACTTGGGTAGGGTTGGGCTAGGATTTTTTGAGCCCATTTAAAACTGAGGCTTATAAGCGAGGCTCAAATCAACCCGCTGGCCCTTGAGGCTTGACCGAGGCTGGGCTTGGGCAGGCCCGTGGGCTATAAATTAATTAACTATTAAATCTTTAATATTTAAATAAGTAAAAACTAAAAAAAAACTATTAACTATAATCCCCATTTACAACCCTAGTTTGCTCATTTACCCTTCCATATCAACTAGAATTTAAATTTTTGACATGCATGTAATATGACAAAGTTAGTTTTTCTTTTGCTTAATTAATAACGAACTCGAAAAGTTTTAGTTGGCCAATAATAATTATTTTTCAAAAGAAAATATTACTTTAAGTGGCCAATGATCAGTTTGGATTACTTTAATATACTATTAATATTTAAATTGCTCTTTAGTATAGAAAAAGATCAATTTTGAATATACACAAAAAAAAAAAATTGACCACTAGCAAATTTCAGGAATTTTAAAAATTTTATGGACTATAATGATGAAATCAGCAAATGGTATTAATCCTAAATTAAAAAAACCTCAGCATTTAAGCTTATTGAAGCAATCCCTGAATCTGAGGAAAATGAAAGTAAAGCATTAAGAAAATATTCATGTAACTTTAAAAAAGAAGAGTTAGAGATATAGAGAATTTGCATTTCAATTACGAGATTCCTCGCCAAATATCAAGCTTTTTTTATGCTCGAAGCAGACAAAAGTTATTTACATGATTAATCGACTATGTCACGAAAAAATATTTTAAGGATTTAAAGAAATTCTTTTTTCTTAAAAATAAATCTGAAGGGCCAGCCCGCCCTAGCCCGCGGCCCACTTAGGTCTGGGTTGGGCTGTCCATTTTAAGGACCGATCATGTGGGGGCTGACCCGTCCTAGCCCACCAAATTTAAAAGCCCGCGAGGCTTGAACTGGACTGGGCTGGGCTGATCCGTTTTGACAGCTCTAATAGAAATATTTAACCAAACTAAAAAGCTCCTGGCAAATGTGCTTAGCCAAATGTCACAAGGATCAAAGTAAAAATTCGTCAAAACTTGAGGGACTAAGCGTAAATTTTCCAATATAGATAGAAAGGACCCTATAACAGTAAATATTTTAATAGGAATATAATTAATCAATTTCCATTAGTTTCGAAATAGAAGTTGACTACTGAAAAAAGTAAACTAGCACCTATTTTTCCCTGCCACCCCACCCCAACAAACTGGATAATCTAATACCTTTTTTGGGGATCCATCTAAGTTCTTCTCTTGTGAAATATATACCTTTTAATTTCTTATTTGTTGTTAGATATTTATATTGTGGTTCTACTAAATTTGAATTTATGTCGAGAAATTCGATGTTAAAGAATAAAGCATTTCATAACAAAGACGATTTGATACTCAGGCTTGAATCTTTACAATTGAAATTAAAAAATAGTCATATTTACAAGTGGTAATTGAAAAATAGCCACAATTTCAAAAGTAGTCGAAATTTAGCCACTTTTTATGTAAAGATAAATCTGAACGAAAATGCTGTTCAAAATCCGGAAAATATTCCAGCATAATATACTAGAGTTCGAATTTTTTACATGTGAACTTCCAGCATAATATACTGGTCCAACATAATATGCTGGAAGTTCATACACAGGCGCTCCAATCTCCAGTATATTATGCTAAAACTTTCCGAGCATTTCACCGCTCCACCGGAAATTCCCTCTGCCCCTACCGTACTCCAGCTTGGTAGTTTCCATCGCCTGTCCAGGGTTGAGCCCTGGGATTTGACGGCGGACAGTGTTGGAGTTCCAGCATAATACGGTGGAAGTTCATACACAAGTGTATTATGCTGGAACTTTCTGTGTTGCAGCAAAATAGTGGTTATTTTTCAATGACTTTACAAACGCTGACTATTTTTTAATTGCCAGTCCGAAAACTGGCTAGCCCGTATTATTCCACCATCTTTACTAGAGATAGGCCCCTAAAATATTTTATTTTTTAAAACACGACACATGTTAATAGTTCTTTAACCTAAAGTACGTATGATAATAAAAGCAAAAGCATGTGAATATAAAAAAGCAAGCACTACCAGAACTTGATGGAAGAATGTATACCTAATTATTATTTAATCAAATAAATTAAGTGTCTTGCCTTACATTAACTTATCTTCATGAAAGCAAAACCTGTATTAGCCTAGTATTATAAGTTTTGGATTAGTACCATATATTAAAAATTTAAAGAATTAACTTAAAAGATAAATTATATTTAGTGGGTGTGCTTTTCTAAGTGGTGGGCAACAAATGAGAGTGAGTACTAAATTAATAAATTAATTAGTTTTAGTACATTAAAGTAGGTGCTTAATCGAAGTTTAGTACATGAATAAAAGAGTTCGTTCGATTTTAATATTTTTTTTCTAATCTCACGAAAAGCAAGCTCAACGAGATATTTTTTTTTAATCATGTTCGCGTCAAAAGCAAGTGCCTCGAGCGACGTACCAAGCGGCAGGCAACGGGCATCTGTCGGTAATTTTTGGGATTAAGGCAAAAATCTGTTTTTAATCTGTGATTAGTGTTGGGTGTTACGGAGTCACGTGCAGATTGTGTGATGGACTTAGGGGACAAATAAAATTGAAAAAAGAAATGATTTTTAATTTAATAGTTTTTTAAAATTAACCTAGGATGTGGGGTTTAAAGATGGGATTAAGTACAAAAGTTTTCTTGGGCATCTCAAGTCATGGAGATTAGTGAAATGCCACTGGGATTATATCTTGGGTTTGCTCAAAAATCAAAATAATGAACTGGAAAAATGGTTTAGAAAAACACATGTATATGTCCAAAAAACTAGTTCGAATATTAGATTGTTCATGGTTTTTAGGTAATAGTCCTAATATTAAATTGTTGATGGTCGATAACAAGAAAAACAATAAAATATAAAAAAATGAATGATATAAATAATTGTGGTAGAAATTAATCTTTAATTCAAAATTTGAGGAGCAGTAGGTAACCATTTACCATAATTAATTAGCACATATTAAGAATCAAACTTTATAGAATATAGATATCAAAGAGCGGAAACAAATCTTGATTTTTGCTTAATTCAATTTTAGTTCTCATGAAGGAATTATTATATAAGATCATTGATTTCTTCGTAAAGATAATCTCAAGAGGTCTTTACTACTTCTTGGCATAATTCATGAAAGATATATATTTCCGTCTTATTGTCACTAGTCGTAAGTCAATTAATAATATAAATTAATTGTTTATTTTCTAGTGAGCAAAGCATAATCACATTAGCAATAAGCAATTATCCATTTGTAAAATATATGTAGATGAGATTTCATTATAAAAATATCGTCAAGTGAATTTAATGATTCCCAACACTTTTTGAATATAAATTTTCCAGAAGTTGTTTTTGTTTACGTAATTTACAAATTCAAAATCCTACTCTCTTTTCATCAATTTGGTTCTCTCAAATAGTAGCTAAAATATTACAAGTTATTAGCATAAATATTCCAATCCTTGTGGGACGATATCTTAAACTATACTAGAATTTGACGGAGAACGAGTGAATATTTCCTATGCACTAAGAGCTCGTCAATTAAGATTACGTATAGATTTACATGAATCTATTTCCTTTTATAAATTGTAAATGTATTACGAAAATAACTAAATATTTATAAATATATAGGTCGGTGAAACTCGACTATTATTATAGTATTAATTGAGATCAACGTAATAACATATACAACTAAACTTTAAATTCTGAATCCGTCTTTGTTTACAACTATGAACAACCTGCGGGAGGCATGTGGCTTCTGTGTTTTAGTAGGCGGAAACAGCAGATCAGACTCATATGAAGAGTACTTATGTTTATGGTAAGAGATATGGTGGACATGCATGCAGAAAAAAGAAAAGTAGGTGACTGACTGTCAGAAAAAAAAAAACTTAGTTACATATTTTTCTGTAAACTCTTTAATTAAAAAGTGGACACAGATTTGAGAGAGTAAAGTGGAAGACGACAGAGAATCTTTTGTGGGGCTAACAACATGAAATGACTTACACTATATACTTCTTTAGTATAACTGTTTTGCTTCCTTCAACTTACTATTATCTTCCGATCCATCTGTGTTTTCTCGAACAGTTCGAGGCAGATTCAGAATTTGAAGTTTATAGGTTTTGGAGTTTATTTTATATACATGATTTGGACCAAAATTATTAGATCCGTTGAGCTCGTACTTTCCATGCTAGCTATCCGCCATTTAGTCACGTAAAAGTAGAGGCAGATTCAAGTTTTGAACTTTATGAGTTCAAAATTTTATGGTAGCGATTTCAAGTGCTAATAAAAAAGTAGTACTTTTTTTTCCTTTTCTTTATTTGACTCTGCGAAGGGAGCTTTGGCACAATTGGTAAAATTGCTGCCATGTGACCAGGAGGTCACAGGTTTGAGCCGTAGAAATATCCTCCTGAAAAAATGTAAGGTAAGATTGCATACAATAGACGGTTGTGGTCCGGTTCTTCCTCAAATCCCGCGCATAGCGGGAACTTAGTGCACCGGTTTGTCATTTTGACTCTCCAAACATCCACTATAACAATCTTTTCTCTGACTATCTGACGTCCCACCATTGTCCCATAACTCCTTTACCTTTGCTTTCCCATAATTAAACATCAATAGTATATCTATATATATATACAAACCCCACTTCCCAATTTCCCTTAAAGTTCCTTTTTCTCGCATATACTTAAATTATTTGAAAGTGGGAATTTGATACAGCACCATTTTTTGTCCTTGATGAAGTCCTTTCACTAATTTTACTACTACAACAAGTCAACAGCACCAAGAAGCTGCCCCCTCAAGAAGATGTACTACTACACTAGTCAGAAATAGCTGGTTAGTTTGATTTCTTCTTTTGAGCTTGGTTAATTATTCTATATATATTTGGTGCTCTATCTTCTTGAGCCGAGGGTCTATCGGACCTCTCTATTCCCAGGGTAGGGGTAAGGTTTGCGTACAACTACTCTCCCCAGACTGCACTAGTGGGATTATACTGGGTGGTTGTTGTTGTTGTTGTTTTATATTTGGTGTTCTAGTTCAAGCCTCTTGTGTTGGTCTTCTGATTTTTGGCTTGGATTTCAGTGAGGATTGATATAGCCGACCTCGTTTTTTGTTTGGAACTACGGCGTAGTAGTAGTTGTTGCTGTTGTTGTATTTCAGTAAACTAACTTTCTAGCTTTATGTCTTCTTATGATCCTATGTTTCAAATCTTGAAATGGTTTCCTCTTGTATGGAGGTTAAGTAGTTTATAAAGAAAATTTTCATTATCCTATGCAGTTTTCTTGTCAGAGGGGAGTCTTGACGTAATTGGTAAAGTTGTTGTCATGTGACCAGGAGGTCACGGATTCAAGCCGTGAATATAGCCTCTTGCAGAAATGCAGGGTAAGGCTACGTACTATAGACCCTTGTGGTTTCGACCCTTCCCCGAACCCAGCGCATAACGGGAGCTTAGTGCACTGATCTGCCCTTTAAGCAATTTTCTTGTAGCTGAAAATTTAACAGAGAGTAGTTAGATTTTGTCAAGAAAAAAATTGGACCTGTCATGTTTTTTGAAGCTATAGATATATTCATTTGTGGAAGTTATACAGTTGACTACTTTCCTTTATCCTTTTTATGGAACACAAGATCTAAAAAAAGTTGTGTTTTATAGTAAATCTTTCCTCAATCTGCATATCAAATTTGTTAACTTTCTTGAATTATATATAATTAGTCATATATATTGGATGAAGGGGAGCCTTGGCGTAACTGGTAATGTTGCCATGTGACCAAGAGGTCAGAGGTTCAAGCCGTGGAAACAGCCTCTTGCAAAAATGTAGGGTAAGGTTGCGTACTATAGACCCTTGTTGGTCCGGCCCTTTCCCGGACGCCGCGCATAGTGGGAGCTTAATGCATCGGGCTGCCCTTTTAGTCATATATATATTGGACAGATACGAGTTTAAATAGAGCAATATGGATAGTGAGGATTCATATAGCTTTTCCCAACTTGCTCGCGATTTAGGCATAGTAATTGGACTATAGTTATGGTGTTATTTAGTCCTTTGTAAAGTGATTCCAAAAAGGTAGATGTAGGTCTTAATTCTTACTTATTTGTGTGTGTGATAATTCATTGTTTTTGCTATACTAAACTGCAGAGAATTCATAATATTTTGTGGTTTATATTGCAATCTTTCCCTTTGATGGGGTGAGTTGTACTTCCTGTTTCATTAACTTGTTAGGACTTTAAACAACACTGTCGATGAAACGCCATTCTCAGAAAGTCTAAATATAGATCAAACGAAAGAATATTTGTACTTTGATAGTCGATCAGAATTTGCAGCAGAACTGAAGTGAAATCAATATGTTAAAACTGCAGCCAAATGAGGCCACTTGAATTATCTGTAAAACATTTATCTTACTCTATCGATATGTTGTTAGCTGCCTTCTCATTTTTCGCCTAAAAGTTAGTCCTTTATCCCTTGTTGGAGATGCTGCGACTGAGATAAAAATCGCAAAAAGGACTCATATGGAGTTCATGTTACACCAGAAAATGGAACAGAATGGAGTTCATGTTACACCAGAAAATGGAACAGAAACATCAGATTTAATTGGTCTTTTGGTGAATAGTTTGAATTTTCTTCAATGGTGTCACTATGGTATTTTGCAGCCTTTCCTTTCTGATAATGGTACTTCCGCTTACAGCTCAAATAACACGAAAGTTAATGCCTTAATCGGTTTCATCTGTATGTTGTAACACTATATTGCACGATACATTAAACTGTTATACACAGTCATACCTCTCTATAACAACATCCCTATATCATAGTCATTCACTATAAAACCAAATTTTTCTCGGAACTGATCTCATGTTATGTTATAATATATGTCCTCTATAACAACACTACACTATAACAACAAAAAAATATCGGAACAAACGAGGCTGTTATAGAGAGGATTGTTGTGAAACTAGTGCTTGCTACTAAACTTGTATATATATGCTCAATGCATATCAAGATTTTGGTTATTTCACTGATTGGAATTTAATTGCATTAAACTTGTATATATTGACTCAACCAAACCTTTTCTTTTTCTGGTCATATACAGGACAATGTTACTAAGTCGACGATCGCTCATTTGTTTCAATTGATCACTACACAGTGTAAGTTCCTAATTTTTAACCAAAATGCAAACACCAAGATTCAATCTTGAAGTTGAGGCATTGTTTGAAGATGATTCTGATATTATTAGCCAGGTAGCTTCTAATATATGTACCGTTGAATCGTTCACGGATCCTTACAAGGACAGAGTTATAGATTTCACTAAGTTAAGTTCAGAACCAGTGTCACTTGACTTGTCTCTTAGCCAGGATTCAATAGGCTTTTCAGTATCCAGCACAAGTGAAAGCAGCAATGAACATGCAACACAAAATTCAGGATCAGGATCAGGATCAGGACCGGCATTTCAAAGAGTTTTTAGTTGCAATTTCTGCCAAAGGAAATTCTATAGTTCACAGGCTCTTGGTGGTCACCAGAATGCACATAAAAGAGAACGAACACTCGCAAAACGAGCTATGAGAATGGGAATTTTCTCAGAAAGGTATGCTAATTTGGCATCTTTGCCATTACATGGATCTACAATAAGGTCTTTAGGAATCAAAGCACATTCTTCGCTACACCAGGGATCCGCACCAGCAATGAGGCCAGTCGATTTTAAAACGAGCGCAAGATTTGAGTATAGTAATTGCCAAAGTCCACCTTTGTACATGCAAAATGATGAAGCTGATCAATTACTATGGCCAGGAAGTTTTCGTCAAGTGACAAATCCCGGTACCTCTCTTACTAATTTTTCTATTGCTGGATGTTCAAATGTGACTTCTTCATACGACGAAAAAGATGAACCAATTACACCAGATCTCACCCTTAGGCTTTGAGAAGTTTGAGAGCAAATACACCACTATCATTTAGCTATCTTATTTTATCTGTATAGTGATATATATTGTCCTAAGTGTGGATTCTGAGAAAGTAGAACTTTCACAGATAATTCTGCTGGATTTTCCGTTTGCTTTGTATCAAGATACTGTGCACAATGCCACAATGCCTGCCCAAGCCAGTGTGATTGGGACAATATTAGATGATTGTTGTACAATTTGAATGTATTAGTTATGACTAGTATTCCCTCCTTATAAGCTTGAATTACTTTTGAGAATGGACGACTATAACTTGGTATGTGCATGCGTGTCTCTGTGTGTGTATTCATGATCATCATCTTTATCCTTGCAATTTTCCAATCTGGTTTACTAATAGGTTTCTGTACCGGACTTTCCAAGATCAATATCTGCCATACGAACGTTTACATCGAGTTTTTAGTATAATGTGCACACCAATTTCAAGTAAAAGTTGATCATCTCGCTGTTTTTACGCTAGACTTCACTAGTTTAATGTGCTGTGCTTATTACATGAAGTCAGTCTCAGAGCACATATAACATTGAGTTATGGTGCGCGCACAGACTTCTGATGCATCGAACAGTATGTTATTCGCTAAGGAATAATATTTATACCTGTTACATGTCTGGCATTGGCAACGCCGTGTGTGTGTGTGTAATACATGTGTACAACTTGTGAGTTGTGAAGACATGTTATACTCCGCATGTGTGAGCTTGCTCACATTCGGTCTCAAGCCGAATAGAAAAAGGAGGATTATGGTAAGTTAACAGTAGGGTAAAACTAGTAAGTTCATGGTGAATCCTCAGAATGCATAGTTGTTGTCATGCAATGAAAATGGAAGCACAAGACAGACTAGAGCTTCAAGTACAATATGAAGTCACATTTTTGGAAGATCCTAGGAAGGTTCTCGTATTGGTTAGGAACCTTGTATTCAGAGGCGGACCTAGGAGTTGAAGGTCGCGGCTGCACTTTTCGATTCAACCAAAATCCGGTTTGTATATAGGGTGCCTACTATTAATATATCACTATTTTCTAAAGATATACATGTATATATGGAATTTTTACCGAACTTTACTGATGCCGGTAACCCCTCTACCTATTGCATAGGTCCGCCTCTACTTGTATTATTAAAGGTGTGAGTACAAGGTTATGAAAGATTCCTAGGCAGGTTCTTGCAAAAGTTGGAATTAACTTTACTCATGAGTCATGATTATATGTGAAGGGGAACCTTGACGTAACTGGTAAAGTTGGTGTCATGTGAGCAGGAGTTCACGAGTTCGAACCGTGGAAACAGCCTCTTGCAGAAATGCAGGGTAAGGCTGCGTACAATATACCTGTTAGAAAGATGCTTTAGAAGCTGAAAATAGTAAAATTATTTTACTGTTTCAGCTTAAGAGTTATTTACTGCAGTAATTTAGTTTGAATTTGAAATAATTTTGAACTAGTCTCTAGGAGTTTGTTATTTTCAGCAGATTTTGTGCTGATTTTTAGGTCTTTTAAGTTAGTATTTCTCTTATAAATTGTAGTCCAAATGCAGTAAAATTAAATAGAAATTTCAGCTTCAGTTCCTTTTACATCTATTCCAGTATACTCTTTTTATTTTCTTGTCATCTTCCCCAGTTATTTCCCTTAATTTCTTTTATCAAGAACCAACAATTGGTATCAAGAGCCATCTTCTTAAGGGACCTAAGTAAAATCTTTTTCTTGAGTGAGATGGAGACTGAAATGAGTTTTTCTCAATTGGCTCCTCCAGTCTTTGATGGTGAAAATTACCAACTGTGGGCAGTGAGAATGGAGACTTACTTGGAGGCTTTAGATCTTTGGGAGGCCGTGGAAGAGGATTATGATGTTCTTCCGCTGCCTAACAATCCCACCGTGGCCCAGATCAAGAGTCACAAGGAAAGAAAACCAGGAAATCAAAGGCGAAAGCAACTTTGTTTGCTGGTGTGTCTGCAACAATTTTCACGAGAGTTATGGCTCTCAAATCAGCAAAAGAAATCTGGGATTATCTGAAGAGAGAATATACAGGAGATGAAAGAATTCGAGGCATGAAAGTGCTGAATTTAATTAGGGAATTCGAGTTGCAGAAAATGAAAGAATCTGAGACCGTCAAAGAATACTCAGATCGGTTGCTTGGCATTGTTAACAAGGTAAGGTTGCTTGGCACTAAATTTAAAGATTCAAGAATTGTTGAAAAAATTCTTGTTACGGTGCCTGAAAAATATGAAGTATCCATAACTACCTTGGAAAATACAAAGGATCTATCCAAGATTACCTTGGCAGAATTGTTAAATACATTGCAGGCACAAGAGCAAAGGAGGCTTATGAGGCAAGATGGTATGGTTGAAGGAGCCTGGCAGCCAACCACAAAACTCAAAGCAAGGGTAATAATGTAAAGAAAAATTACCCACCTTGTCAGCACTGTGGCAAAAAAGGTCATCCACCATTCAAATGTTGGAAGAGGCCAGATGCAAAGTGCAAAATTTGCAACCAACTTGGTCATGAAGCTGTAATTTGCAAAGGCAAATATCAAAAGCATGAAGCAGATGCCCAAGTTGCCAATGAAGAAGAAGAACATCACTTGTTTGTGGCAACTATTCTTTCAACCAAAAAAATCTGATTTTTGGTTGATTGACAGTGGTTGTACAAACCACATGACATATGACAGAAATCTTTTCAAAGAGTTTACGTCTATGGGAAATAAGAAAGTCAGAATTGGGAATGGTGATTATATTCTTGCTAAGGGAAAAGGAACTGTTGCAATCCCAACAAAGTCAGGTACTAAGAAAATTTCAGATGTTCTTTATGTTCCTGATATTGATCAAAATTTATTAAGTGTTGGACAACTAATGGAAAAAGGATTTAAAGTATCCTTTGAAGATAAATATTGTTTCATTTATGATGCAACTGGACTTCAGATTTTAAGGGTTAAAATGAGAGGTAAAAACTTCTCATTTGATCCAACCGAAGATGAAGAATGGAGCCCAAAGAATCTACAAAGTGCAGATAATCCTCCAAAAGAGGACATATGTGAAAATGAGACAAAGAAGTTGTCAATATTTCAGAAAAACAAAATTTGGAAGAAAGTTGACAAGCCTCAAGGCAAAATGCAAATGTGGAAGAAAGTTGACAAGCCTCAAGTCAAAATGAAGCCGAAAAAAGAGCCAACTTATTTCATTGACAATCATGAGATGCAGCAAAATAGAAAATTGAACTCAATTTACTGCAAGTCCAAAGATCAGTTGGCAGATTTACGTACAAAGTCGCTTCCAGTTAAAGGTTTACAAGGCATAAATTCAGAATTTGCAGCTTCAAAAGCAAGGAGGAGTGTTAAAAAGATGCTTTAGAAGCTGAAAATAGTAAAATTATTTTACTGTTTCAGCTTAAGAGTTATTTACTGCAGTAATTTAGTTTGAATTTGAAATAATTTTGAACTAGTCTTTAGGAGTGAACTAGTCTCTAGGAGTTTGTTATTTTCAGCAGATTTTGTGCTGATTTTTAGGTCTTTTAAGTTAGTATTTCTCTTATAAATTGTAGTCCAAATGCAGTAAAATTAAATAGAATTTTCAACTTCAGTTCCTTTTACATCTATTCCAGTATACTCTTTTTATTTTCTTGTCATCTTCCCCAATTATTTCCCTTAATTTCTTTTATCAAGAACCAACAATACCCTTGTGGTCCGGCCTTTTCCCGAACTCCGCGTATAATAGGAGCTTAGTGCACCAGGCTGCCGGTTGATGCAATTATTCCATTAGTAATTGACATCAGTTGACTTGGAAAAATTCCAAAATTGAACTACTAATCATGCTACCTGTTGCACTAACCCAATTTGGACTACTTTATGGGCTTTTATAACTGTATATACTCATTCCCAAGTTCTCAACTATAGATTTATTTATAGTGCTGCAATTATAATACCTGTTGACTTGGATATATTACAATGATGTGCAAGCCAAATGACAAGTTGGGGCAGAGAATATAGTAAATTAAACTTAATGGACTATATATTAGATAACTAAACCTTATTCTCTTTCGTGATTTTTACGCATTATAACCGCCCCAAAATAATAGCCTTCTCTTTTGACTTCATATACATATACTCCTATATTGATAGTGAAGCAATGAGCTAAACCTACTTTGATCATCGCGTGATTGTGTTATCTCTTAATCACTATTAGAATTCAAACAATGGAATCTCAAATAAGATAATTCAGTAGTCAAGATGTTAATCGTCATGAGTTCAAATTTTAATATGGTTCCACATAATTGTTGATCCCAACTACGGATATATTAAAGCCAACAATGTTAGAGGCATTCCATCCAGCGTAAGCATCTGGATAATTTGAAACCCGGTGTGGGATAATCTAATGTTGAGACAAGCCTTGCTAGCCGGTAATAGTCGAAGGCAAAGAAAAGGGGGGGGGGGGGGGGGGGCCTTTCGATCGATGCACAGTTGAGGAGGCTGATCACAAAAGCTACAGGTGTGGGAGCAATTCGCACAACGTCTTTTTTGAGAGAAGAGGTCAAAGGATTAAGTGACTCTTAAAAGTTATCTTTAGCAGATTTTTTAATTCGCTAAGTTTGAAAAGTCCGAAGAGCGCAGACTAACCACGAAGCTTGCATACAGTCTGATGGGATTGTCAACTCTTTGTTGGAGTTAAAGAAAATGAACAAGACTCTTTAATCTGGCACAATCAGAAAAGAGGGTAAAAAATGCAACAATCAAAGAATGATGTAACATTAGGTAACCAAAAGAAGACAGGCTAATGGTCCAATATGAGCATTTAAGGGAGAAAAAAAAGAACATGACCTAGCTATTTGTCCAATTTGAATAAAACATACATTAAGAACATGAATTCCCTATTTATTTACGACTGATAGGCTACCTGATAAAAAATATGGTCAAAATAATACGGGCTAGCCATTTTACGGATTGATAATCGGAAAAAAGCCAGCATTTGCGAAGTGAAAAATAGCCATTGTTTTGCTGAAACACTGAAGTTCCAGCATAATGTGCTCTCTTGCATATAAACTTAAAGCATATTATGTTGGAGTCCATTACTCAAATGGTCACTCAACTATCCCAAATTATCTCCTAAAGTCACTTTTCTTTTATTTATAACAACAAAGTCACTGAACTATGTCTATTACACTCAGAATGTCACTCAACTAGATTTTCCAAATTTTGCATTGCCAAATACCTATTTTACCCTCTAAATTATGAACATTTATCTTCTTTTTATTTTTTTAAAACCTTTTAATATTATAATTTTTCTCTTTTTAATT